TTGAGGATCGGGTGGATAGTCAACACTCACGAGTCTGTCCCGATTCCCCCAATACATACAGTGCGCGAGTCCATTGCTCAACTGAGTCGCATTCAATATGTTATTTACGTCTAGATGACAACGGTCGCGATGACATGGAACGTAGATTATGAAGAGAAGTTCTTCTCTTCAGAAGTTCGATCGAAAGCACGTACACAGAGCACAAGTCATATCTACTAAATCAATACATCAACACATACATAATTCACATCCGTCTACTATCGCAGTCAAATTTTGTTCACTAAGAAAATCCAACATTAATTCAGATATGCCAAGCACACAAATAACCCGAATCATAGCATCCGCTACAATCACCTTCGCAGTTGTTGTACCCTTCGTTCCACCCGCCTTAACAACTGCAAAGATGCGGTCGAATCGCCGTGGCTCTGACATATCCCTCCGACCTGCTTTTGTGAGACATTCTTTGTCTATTATCATGCCTGCCTCTTTCTAAAGCTTTTCAGTGCATGCCCTATCTTACATTTGCAGCAGCCGCAGTCGCAGCAGAAGTCAGGGACGCTTCCGAATATTGCATATAACGAGTCCAGGAAGTAATACAAATATCTTGCATACAGCGTTAGGCATTGAGCTTGTGTGAGCTTACTTGGGTTGTTATTTATATATGGGGGTATTTAGCTGGAATTTGGGCTTGGAGCGCATCGCATGTGTTTAGCGGGATTCTACTTTTTTTTTCTCCCTATCAAAGACAATTGTCCAATTCATCTACCTGTCTTTTTATGTTTTATCTTATTCAGAGAGACTAAAGTAGACCAGGTGAAGGACACTCAACGTATATAGAATCCATAATTTAGCCGCTCGATATCAATGATAATCGCCAGAACCTTTAAGATACAGCCAACACTGCAACCGCCCACGCCGGCAAATCAACAGTGAAGCTTCCGCTGCCAGACACAGTAGAAGTCTGCGTCGTAATCGACACATCATGAGGATAATTGCGCACTGTCTCTCCACCGGAGAGCAGCTGGAGCTGACCAGATGTAGTTCCCTCAATGTTCACGGTTACATTCTGTGAAGACGACCCGTAGTTCGCCAGTTTGACGTAGTACGTGCCCTCGTCAGACACGGATGCGACCCAGTAAAGCGGATCAAAGTTGGCGGTCGTGTTGACAGGGAGGACGGTGGAGCCACGGTTTGTCGAGAACATCTTCTGGACATAGTACGATGTGGAACCGGTTATGGAGTCTGGACTGCAATCCAGGCCGAAGAGATCGGGCTGTTGCGGAGTTAGTATTTTGTGATAATTATTGGGAGCTGTATGTTATGGAAAAGTAAGCACTCACCGACCACTCGGCCATATCAAAATGCTCCAACAGGGGTGCAAAACTGGCCATCTTGACAATGTCGCTGTTGCGTTCCATGCCGATCATGTAGACAGCTTCACTGCAGGATCCCTGCATGTACGACCAGTAGGTTGTGCTACCGTCGTTGCCGGTAGTACTGGCGTATTCGCCAACAAGAATAGGCCAGTCGCGTGACCAGTTATCCCATTCGTCGAAGAGATCGATGAACTCGTCGGGTGTGAGGTAGTGGTGGATGTCAGTGATGACGCCGTCGGGGATGGTGGATGGGAGGCAGGAAGTATCAGTTGTGGAGGCGACAATAGTAAGGTTGGGGTATGCGGCATGAACAGCATCGTAAATCAAAGTGAAGCGGTTTGCGTAGGTACCGCAGCCGCTGCTGAGATTGTCTTCATTTCCGACCTCGAGGTACTTGACGTCCCAGGGCTGGGTGCGACCGTTCTTGGCACGCAGGGCGCCGTAGGTTGTGTCTGCGGAACCGAGGACGTACTGCTAGTGTCAGAAAGGCTCTGGGGATTTTTTTGGGGGTGGCATACTTCGAGCTCATTGAGAATGTCGTCGACATAGGGATCCAAGGCTGATCCGGACACGATGCCGCCACCTAGGGAGAGGCCACTCCATACAGCGAGGAGCGGCTCCATGTCCATGTCCTCACACCATTGAAGGTATTCATCGAGACCTAAGCTTTGAGTCAGTCTGGCTTTACTTTCGAACGACATTTCCGAGCTGAGCTTACCAAGTGCGTCCGTATTGGGGTAGGTCCAGTCACCTGCGCAAGATGTAAGTCAATGGCCGTCGCTATCGAAGAAAGGTACCAGTCTCCATACCTTCGCGTCCTGGGCGATCAACTACAGGACCAATAGTCTCGTTCCACTTCCAGCGATCGCTAGGGGTTGCACCTTCCCTGAAAACAAGTCAATTCAAAGTCCAGCGCCAAATCCAATCCCTATTCATGTGGACCTACAGATTATTGCCTCCAGGGAACCGCAAGAAAGACGGCTTGATGTCCGCAAGGAAACTAGCAACATCATTGCGCAAACCGTTGTACCTGAGCGATATTAGACTGTCGCCTAGAATGAAATAGTTAGAAACACTTACCGTGAGTTATAAGTAGGAGGAAACAGCTGCACCAAGCCAAAGTTCAGGGAGCTCCCAGCCACCTTGGAAGCATCAAACCGTAGCTGCCACACATTGTGCGCATCTGCAGACACAGACGAGCTGAAAGAAGTCTCATAGTAGGTGAAGTTGGTGCTGGTGCTGTCTACAGTGATGTTGTGATCCGCGTAAATGATTCCACTTGAGTTTCCCACGAGTCGGAGATTGACAGTGCCAGAATAGTCACCCTTCATATAAAAGTAGTTGTCGTAGTCAGTCCCCAGAACGGGAACACCCTCATACCCTTCATTTGCGAAGCCAACGTAGCCAGTTGATCCAGATGGAACGGTTACCTTGAGAGTAGAAGTGATGGCGCTGCTAAGAGGATTGGCCGTGTCTTGCGATATAGTCACATTTCCTACCGCGCTGTATGCCGTGAGGCCCGGGTCGTCGCCCTGGAAGCCGTTGTTGCGGAGTACTTGGCCGTGGATGCCACCATCACCTAGCACTTGTTAGTGTGCCATTTTCCATGTGGCTCAGTTGATCTGGCATACCAGAGTTGTTGATGTCCTATGTTGAAGCATATGAGCAATTGCAGTAATGAGATGAGGGCTAATCAGAGTCCATACCTCGAACATGACCCCATAAAGAAGGGGACTTGACGAATTCCCACCACTCTTTGACACTGTCAGTTCAATGGCCAGCGTCTGACCGGCAAGCAATGCCGCGGCCAGCGAGACCAAAGCAGACGAATACATGTTTAGATGCTTATGAGTCGGCGACTCTACTTTGCGATATGATATGAAAGCTACAACTCCCCAAGGGGCCATTCTTTAAATACTTTGGGCAACAATAGTACTAATATGCAGCCTGCAGAACTATTCCTGTTCCTTACATTCCTAAGCCATAGAATTGGGCAACACATGGGCCCATTAATGCAAAGTAACTGCATTCACCTTACCCAGGCTGATAAGCCCACAGGAGAATTACTCCGTTGGGGTCGGCATCGTCAGGCACTCGATCGCACCGACCCCTCACGCAGCAGAAGATGTTGGCAATCGCGGCTAGAGTAGAACAGAAATAGACTAGATTTATGTATCATGCGGGCAACATGTGGTGCACGTTGTTGCATGGTTGAAGAAATGCGGGGGGCAGATGAGGGGTTTCAAGGATATCGTCGTCGTCCTCGGCCATTCTGCGCCGAGGGGTTAGTGACAAGCGATAGTACTATGTTCTTGGCGGAATTTTTCCGACCACTCAAATGGGTTTACGGAGATTGCTTATAAAATATTCCAAGGCATGAACGTAAGAAAACATGTCATTCATGATTTGGTGCCTAAACGTCGAGGAAAATGACTGGCAGGTGCCTGGATGCGAGGCGTACTAAGCCCTCGTATCCGGGCCGCTCAGGGGTCAATTTAGGGACTGCCACAGGGGCAGATGAACGCTATGCCCTTTGGAGTAGGGGACTCGTGTATATTGTGTCATCTACTTGCTTAAATGCGGAGTTTCCGAAGGAAATTGGCCTGTGGACAGATTTTCCAGCAAGAGAGATGTCATGAGGTGCATGGTTCGTGGGCAGGTGTTGCTAGTTTAGCATTTATTGAGTATCGGAAAACCAATTTAAGAAGCTGTAGAAGAATAGACCAACAATATTATTGCGACCTCAATACCACTGTTGCTGTGTGTGGGAGACAAAAAAGTATGGGGCAAAAAAAGAAAAAGAAAAGGAAAAATAAACGTCCCGGGAGAGGATCGAACTCTCAACCTCACGATTAACAGTCGTACGCGCTAACCTTTAATGCTGAATTAGTAACTGATTGGGTGTGATGTAGTGATGAAGGGTAAGCTTACCAATTGCGCCACCGAGACGACTCGATATTTGGTGCAAGAAATTAGTGTTATATGTAGGGCAATACTGAAGCGAATCAGCTTAGGTGAAAACCAAAGCTGATAACCAACCCCCTCCTGAATTTACATATTTCCAACGCAACATCACTTCGCTAATATGAAAGGTCTTTATTGCCATGCTTGCTTCATAGTGCGCTGGAAATCTTCCAGCTATGAGTTCTATTATATGTACTTTGAGATTTCTGTGTAGGAGTAGTGTAATGCCAAGTGGATCCCACCACTGTCTAACCGTGGACATATAAACATCGTCTTTAAGGGAGCATCTATGTTCTATACGGCTATAGCGAACTCCCCAGCAAGGTCGCAGGACTATTTTCACCCGTCTCAAGCCAAGAAAAATAAACACCTGATGTCTATATTGGTATAGGCAGAACAATTCGTCCTGTCTGGGGCATGACTTGCCATAGTACTTACTATTATATATTCTCCGAACTCCGCTGTGGAACGGAACTTCAGAGCGAGAGACAACAAGTGCTACTGTTCGACAACTTATGCACACCCCTGTAAATATTGAGCTTGACCTGATCAGTTTGCCCGTGCTAGTAGGTAATCCAACGTTACACCTATTAGGCCATGACCATAAGCCCATGCATGCACATGGTTGGCTGTTACACAGGGAGGGATGCGCGAGACTGGATGAAATAAAGTTCGGTAGTCCAACTGCATACTAATCTTCTATTGAAACTGATCCAATCAGTCGCCATCAATGGTCTCACCACAAATACAATAAGATTCCTAACGGGGTATAGCTTCGCTCTACCTGCCTCCAGAAGCAGCCACTCGATCCTGAGGCGGGGTATCGGGATTTCCCCAGGCTTAGCATTGCAATTTCCTACACTAGATGCATTGAAACGAGCAAATTCAGTAAGATGGCGTTATGATCATTAGAACATCAAAGTTAAACATGAGAATCTTGATAATTCCAGCTCCTACGCCTCGAACCCAATTCCAGGCCCATGGTGCGGAGACCTCAACGCACGGTCATATTCTCTGTCAGAGCGGAAATCGTCGCGGGCGATCTGCTCCTCGTTGGGGTGGGGGTGCGTATGCTTGTTCTGAGGGGGGTGAGAGCGGTGGGTGTGCTCGTGGCCTAGTCCTATGTGTCAGTCCCCAATGTCTAGCATGATTCTAGATGATAGAAGTAGGAAATGGCAAACGAACCTTCACGACCGATAGTGGGAGGATGCTCATGTGCATCTTCGTGCTTGTGCTCGGTCTTGTCCTTGTGGTGGTGAAGATGGAGAGCGTCTTCGGCCTTGTGGATGAAACCCGACATGATTGATGGTGGATGAGAGTATTTCCGGATGTGAAGTCTGTGTTTGACTCGAGGATGATAATTGGGAAGGAATTTGTTCTTGTCCTTCGAGGAAATTGAAAAGCCTTATAAAGGCAGCAGGAAGTTAAATGACGTCGAATTAGGTGATTGCGTGGCTAAGCGTGGCATCCAAGATGGGCTGATTTGATAACTTCCAGTTTCCTTCCTTTGCATGCATGGCTGGAGCTAGTTTGACGTCATCGCGGAGATGGACGGGCTGATTGGAGCAACTTCGACTGGGATGTAGATCACAAGATAAGCCTTGTCTGGCGACTCGGAACGAGCGGCACCTCCCCATGTCATTTGTACTACTATGAATGCATGTGAGTTTCATTATGAGAGATAGGTTATATGTTTAGGGTTACTGTGATCGGGGCTGAACGGCTGCACTGTCCGAGGCGTGGGAGCATGCTGAGCCATATCCATCAGAATAAGGGTCATCGGACTCTGGATTTAATTACGAACCTGTCCGCGGGGACGAAATGTTTCTTGAAGTTTAAATCTCACGGTCGCAGACTATTGCAAGGCTGGGTCAAAGTAGCCAGGGACATAATGTCTTACCGAATACGGAAACCCGAGCGATCTAGAGGTCACCCCGCGCCCATGAGATTTTCGTATGCCCTACTTTAGAAGCTCCCTCAGATGCAGATATGTAGGAGGATATGGCATCCGAGGTGGTGACATTGTACATTCTAGATGACGGACAAATATCATCCCTGAGGATTGACACAGCCTTGAAAACATCTTCAGTCTGTTATTGGCCAAGTGACGAAACAAGCACATCCAGCTTCTCTCAAACTACAGAAGCGAAATCAGATGAACTAAGCCATGTGTCTGATATCTGTTGAATGGCTACACACCGTCCTCAGTGTTGCGCACGGTTATCGCAGTGCTTCCATACTTTCCCGGCTCATTACCTCGGGGTATAACCCGGTCTTCTTCGAGTAAACTGTAAGCACGTGTTCTTCCAATGATTCCTCTAGCGGTGTCCCTTTTCTCGAGGTAAGCAATAAGACCGATGACTGGGAGAGTTAACATCCCCGTCACCAAGCTCGCAATATACCCTTTCCTGAAGTTGGGCGCATCGGTTACTGGATAGAAGACCAACGGCCACCAGGTCACAAAAGCAAAGTCAAAGGAGTTCATGAATCCGGTTGTAATGGCACGCAGCTGGAGGTCGTGGCCTGTAACGTCGGCCATCCAAGAATACCAGACAGCTTGGGGAGCGTATGTTGTTCCGAGTAAGTAGAAGGCAACAAAGTAGCCAGCGTCCGTGGAAGGGGTCGAGACAAGGATAGCCGAGCCGATGACAAAAGTCAGACCGATGGCGATAGAGACCTCCCATCGCGATTGTAGCTTGTCTGAAATCGCTGCATACACAACTATACTCACAACGGCAGTTGCATGGATGACGGTAGGATAGGTATTTTGCTGAACGACCGTGTACCCCCGTGAGGCTAGCCAGTAGGCCATGACGTTGTTTCCTAGCATTTGCACACAAACTGAATACACTAATTAATATTAGCTCAGTGACTTGAAGACAAAGCTCTCCCGACCTACACATGAAAACAAACGGTAGGAGCCAAAATTGCCAGCTCAGGAACACGCGCTTGAAGACCGTGGTATCCCAGGACTTCTTGGAGATGGTACCCAGTCGAGTTGCCGCATGTTCCTTCTGCTCATTGGTGAGATACCAGGCCGCACGGTGTGCTGGAAGGTCCGGAATGAAGACCCAGCCTACGAACATGTCAGTATTCTCCTATTGAGACAAAGGACGAGCCATACCGAAGAGTGCCACCGGGATAGTCATCACTGAAACGATGATGAATATCCACTTCCATGCAGGCAGGCCACCTTTACCCGCCAGTGTCTCTAACAGACCGGCTTGAATCCAGCCACCGGACAATGTCCCCAATTGGCCGAATACGCAGAATACCGCTGCCCGCATTCCGAGCTCCGACTTTTTGTACCACGAGGCTAGGATAAATTGTGCACCAACGCTATTCAAAGTTAGTGTCGGCCAGCTCAATCACATGCAAAATAGATTAGGCGATTACTATGCGATGGCCGAGAACCCTCCTTCGATCGCATTCAACAAAATGACCTGCCAGGCCCGAGTCATCTTGTACGTGATTAAGGTCAAGACACTCCAAGTAACATTGGCAGTAACAAAGACATATTTCGGTCGCACCACTGTGAGAAGGCTTGTACCGGGCATTTGGCAGACAGCATAGACTACCAGGTACGCGGTGCTCATGTAGTTGTATTCTTTCCCCTCGAACCCGAGGGCCTCTCGCATACCGCTGATGTAGGCCGAGGAATAGCTAGACCGTGTTACACCAAAAAGGAACCAAATAAGGGAAAAATAAGGGAGCAGAGTAACGTCCAACTTGGCAAGCAGAGCCCGATCCTTTGGATCTTGACCCCAAAGCCAGGTCGCAAGTCTGGTCATGAAGGCCATATTGACCAGCGTTTATTCAGCTGAGGCGAATCGATACTATCACTTGCAAGTTGTATGGCTATGTCTTATGCCAACATGAGCGTAATTCTGAGAAGATGGGACTTTCAAAGTGCCAGATATTCTGCTGCTTGTCGCACAGGCGTCTGCTAGGAGATATCCCCAATGCCCCGACAGCAGAAGCACCAGAAACCAGAATGAAGCCTTATCTTGCAGAAACAAGAGATGCTTGATGAGTTAGCAGGCTAGATCTCGGCGATGGTGAAAGACCGCCTGTGAATGGTGAGATGTCCTGCCGATAAGCAAAAGAAGGATGATGTGATCGTCGGTGAGGGGCACCAGAAATCCTGCAGTCGGCCCGCGTGACTTTAGTGAATATCTTTGAGGCTCCAAGGCCACGAAAAATGTCATTCAGTACAGGTATATCCCTGGACACAGATGGAATAACATTGTACCTAATACTTCTATGATTGATATCCATAAAGGATGTCCCGTAAAAAGTCGTTCCATTGGCGTCGAGAGTCTCTCAGTATGGGTACATACATGTCTTCCATCCCAGACGGAGCACCATAGCTTCTTTTGCATGCCCAACACAGAACATATTAAATCCGGCCAACTGAACCTCCCGTGCTAATTCTCTCACCATACAAAAACAAAGGCTGCTTGTTACTGAACTTTGAGATATCGCCCAGTACCTCGGCAGCTTCAGGGCCTTTGAATGCCTGCTTCGCTGCATTGTCGTCCTCATAGAAGAGCACACATCCGAAGGAGTAAGGAATTCGGTCTTCAGTGACACCCGGACCATACTTCACGACAGTCCAGCCATGTAATCCATAATTTCTCCAAAGTCGATCGACAAGTGGCAAATGATGCGAGAGATAGTACTCAAGGTCGTACTTTGCATCGGCTTCGTTGGGATAGAGGACGGTCACGGTATACACCATTATTTCGATGGCTGACTGGCTAAGGGCTCATTCAAGTGATGGCATAAATGGAGGCAGATGGTACGCAGGGTTGGTGGAGGAAAAGCACTTCACCGAACGCAAAAGAGGGCTCCATTGGTAAAAATATAGGTATGTTCTTGTGAGATGGTTCAATTCGCAACCACTGACCTCAGAATGATCGATGTTTGAGTTCACTGATATTAGCGTTATCAATTGGTATACTGTAAACTCTATACGGACGGAAGCTCGTGATGGGACCTACCCAGGGCCTGGACAAAAGCTGCCTTCTTGGTTCGACTTTCTTGGTTCCGTGGTCATTACTAATAAATGGGGTTCCTTTGCAAAGTATCTAGCAGCCCTAGTTCGTGTCCTAAATCGCCCAAAGATCCGAGATCCGAATGGAATACCATTCCAATAGATCATGCAATAGATTGCGTTGCAATGTTCCACAATTGCGGCAACGACTATTCGCCGAAACGTTAAAGCTCGCAAAGTGTAGCAAATATCATCATGTGTCTCAGTTATTACAGCCATTCAAATCGCAACAAAGCTTCGTCATAGCTTTGATTGATAAAGCCAGAAGAGATGACTATATTGAGTCTAATCTCGTGATAAAATTGTTTGACAACGCAAACGGATGAAGTCAGATGACTGCCTGTCAACCAAATAAACCTAAACCTTTGGAAGTCCGATTATACTGTGTGTGCAGACATGTTTGTAGCAAATTCTATTTAATGAAGATTCATTATGACTATCACCTATACTCGCTTGTATGGAAAAATATTGTACTGTTGGGTCATTGGGCTCGTTATCTGCCGTTCACCGTATCGAAACCTGGTTTTGCATATTTCTTGTTCCTAAATAGAAGTACTCATTCGTGCCTTCGAAGACATGTAGAATTGCAAGAGACGCTTGTAGTCACATATACCAAAAAGGGAAATAGGAAAGGTATTACCCAAACAATAGGAACTGTCTGAGCATTTATGTTTGACCAGATTACCATGATATATCAACCTTATTCGCATAAACTCTCGGAAATGGCCTCCAAGTCCCTTATCTGTTGTTCATGATACCCGTTAGATCCTCTTTGTCAGTCCTTAACATACGGTCCCTGAGATCACAAGTCTTTGTATAGCCAATCGATTTTGCGAGCCTTTGTCTGCTTTTAAGCCCATCTTTGTATTCATGGTGTTCCTTGTAAAGGGCTCCAAGAAGTTTAAGAGTAAATTATGGTAGAGGAACATTATGGAGTGATAACAGTCTACATCTTCTACAAAAGAAATCTACCTCTTTCTGGCAATAGGCGCACGATAGTGTGTTAAGATGGTACATGCCACTACATGAGTAGTACGACCAATGTATCTACAGCCTAAACTTCCAATAATATAGAATAAGAAATAAATACAAGAAAGCATAACAGGGGTGTTATGCATCCTAGAGTTCTCCTCAGCTTAGAACTAGCCGGAGTCTACCAATTACTTCGACTAAAAACACTCCACCACAAAGGAACAAGGGACAAAAGACATTCTGCTTTGACTCCAGAATATAAAGTCTAATATACTGAGGAGAAGATAAGTTAAATAGAAGAATATGACCACGAATTCGCTGAATAGACTTACCTTCGATAGTTACGTGTTATGCTCGATATCGCTTTCTCCATTGCAAGCCGGGATATCTTCCACTCTGCTTCGCCCCCATCCAATCGCCACAACCAATACCAAAATGAATCCATTCGATGAGCTTCCATATGAGATTCTATCCATAATCATCACGGAAGTCGCGGACTGGGTGGCCCTCGAAAGCCTTTTGCAAGTCTCTTCGCGGGTACGAAGACTCTTTGCCGGAGATGGCGAGACCCCCGGGAATCGTGAAGCCATTCATATAGTCAAATCCATGTTGACAACAAATCCAATGATGCATGACGACCTGCACGGCCTGTTTTGCAAGTGTATCGCACTGCGCCAGCCCTCGTTAGCAGTTACTAGTCTCGAGCAGTTCAGGTCAGGGGACTACGATCAGTTGTCTGTGGTCTTCAAGTCATTCATATCGCAAGCTTCGCTACGAGAGATGGTACATGTCGCAGCTAACATCCAACGGCTTGCGTGCGTTTGCTTGACCACGTTCCTGAGCAGGATTCGGGGGATAAAACCGATGTGCCGCATGCCAAGTGGCAGTGAAGTACAATACGAGCCGCGCGAAGCAGGCCCTCCCTCGTGGATTGAAGAGTTTCGAGTGTATCGCGCGCTGTGGCATTTCCAGTTCTACTCTGACCTTTTGAATGCGGCTGAACGACTGATGTTTCCGCAGGAAGATCTCGAACTCTTGCGGACGAAACCCCTCGTCTGGAATAATCCGTCAGAACCATTGGGGTTTGAACTACTTTCAGTAAATGAATGGCTGTGGGGTATGTTCTGTGAGAGAGAAGATTCCTTTACCGATATTCCAGCGGTGAAGAAATTCCCCTGTAGCTATCCAGCATACGTGGATCCTCTCCCTGACCCTTCACAATTGCAGGACGAATATTCGGTCTGGGCCCCTCCAGCTCTTCCTATAGACAAGGGCCCAAAGGACATTTGGCGCCAGGGATCCGGAATGGTCAACAGAAGATCGGGGTCGACCGGATTTTACTCTTACTGTGTGAATATTGACTTGAGTACATCATCAACACGTCGGATGCACTACTGTTACGCTGATTCACCAATTTACCGCGAGATTGGTTTGAAGATATGGGATAGATGGCGGTTATATTGCCTTGGCATCTGGTATGCCTGTGATCCTGATGAGTTCCGATGGGAATACCTAGGTCCAGATGGATCCCTTGTCCCAGAGGGCTGCTTTCCAGAGTGTAGCATGATCGATAGTGATTACCGGTTGTCCTTCTTTATCAAGCCCAGAGTGCGGGAAAGGGAAGAATTTTGTGAGAAATGGTACAGGGAGAAACACGGTTTACTAGAGACAAGCAGAGCCGAGGAGACAGGCAAAGTCGAGAGGAGGATGAGGCGGAAACGCAAAGCATGCCAAATCGGTCTTGAATTGCCCCGACAAGTTCAAACCAGATATCAGCTTAGACCTCGCTAATTGGTTCAAAACAAAAATTTGTCCGATCTACATAAGACGACAAATCTAGTAAGGATAGAAACCATAGAAACCCTGATTCAATAGAATTGTTGTTCCTACATTGATCAACGTCCTATCATCTTTCCTATAACCCGGCGCATTCAAGTATGGCCAGTAGAGAACCTGAGATTGAGTGGGCATGCCCTTCAAAGAATTCCTCCTTACCATTCCAGATAGGCCAAATTTCATGTTATGACCAAAGACATAGATTGTAAGTCAGGATGGCCAATGTTGTATTTTCGATCTCGGAAAACCCAAGATTCGGGGCCACCGGCGAAGCAACACTGGGCGATCCGGACTAAACGTATAGGAAAAGCATAGAATATTCATTGATCGCAATAGAAAGTCTAGTCAAGCTTCCCAGAAAATTACAGGTAACTCTGCACTGGACTACAAAATGCGATGCTTCTACTCGAAAAGTTGAGAAAAATTGATTCGAGCGGAACGGCCGTCGCAATTCCACCCAGCTCGGTGATTCCAGTCGATATCAAAAGCCTCATTAAGGCTGCTCATCGTGTTTTAGAGAACTACGATGTAAAATTGGATTTGATATCGGCCTGGAAGGTATGCGTGTGCAGAATCAGTGAGCAATCCTTCCCAATTTCAGTAGGTCGCCTGAGGCAAAGTGGAGGTATGGAAGGACTTCACGGCATAATTGGAGGGTTTCCTCAGCAGAGTACTTCGTAAAGCTTGGAAATAAAGCTATGCAATATTTTGGAAGTCTTGCCGGGGTTATCACTCTGGCGAAGAAGGTAATCAAAGCACAACCGCTTGCGAAGCTACAGAAAAGATTCTCCTGAAGTAATAGCGGGGTTGGTTCAGCCGTGACAGCGCTCAGTTCAGGAGTGGGTCTCTCTGAGGTGAAAGAGTAGATGACAAAAAAGATTTTATGAAACAAGGAAGAAATAAGAAGGAGAAGAGCCAACCCGTTGCCGAATGGGAGCTTCGAAGTCCGAGATATATTGCAATGAACGAAGCCAGCATTTATGTCTACATTAGTGGTGCAGCAGAATACCTTGGCTTTCCTTCTGTTCCCATATAATCCCACCCAGTTATATACAGCTTTATTATGAACATTAGATCCAAGTCACTCACGAGCAATCAAGTTCCCGTACAAAGTGAGACTGATAGTTGCCCTATTAGGCGAGTTCCGGGGTTAAAGCTTTTCACACTGACATATCTCGCCTCTCACGAGAGTATCGCGAATTGTATTCCACAATCGCCTACATGTTTCGGGTATTCACGATCCGGGACAATGAAACAGATCAAGCCCTCCGCGATAGATGCCCAAGCTTCTTTATTTCTAATTTACATTTGGCTACATCCTCCTGGAAAGAAGGGTGTCCCCGTTCAAAGGTCGGGGTTTAACTGATGCAGATAACCATTTTTACATGATATCCTCCTATGTCATGGAGATAAGTGTATACTATCATGCTCTATTTTCACTGTAGTAAGGTCTACCACTTTGGCTTGAAATAGCCTCACTATCAGATAATAGTCGCCTTCTCTTCTCTATCAAGGGCTTGGCCTTGCCAGAGCACTTCCAAACCACCCCAAAAAGATCCCTATCATCATTATCATACAAACCGCTGTACCTGTCTCAGATCAGCACATATCATGTCGGTCGTTGGCCCCAATGCCAAGTCTCACAAAGACCTAATCAAGTGTCTGGAGAAGAAACAGGCTATCATGGAACGTCTGGCGGAAATCAAAGAAAGAGTGACAAACCTACCGCTGAGCTGCTTGAGTGAAGAATTTCAGGAGCATATCGGTATCGTGCTTACATATTATGATCTTAGGGACCATTTCGGTACCAGCGACAAAGTGTACTTTATACCATACGCAGGGCGCCTCTTCCCCACCATTCCGTGGGACGAGGCAAAGCTATTTGACTCTGATCCCAGCCCACGAAGAGAGACATATCACATCCATAGAAATTTGGACAAAATACTGGCCTATCTTACGCCGATTAAGGAAATATGGACAGAGCGGAAGTAAGTAGAGAGATACATAGACATTCTGAGTTTGAAGGATACGTCCTGACTGAAGCACTGTTGTGTCCGGTACTAGGTTCTTCGGGGACAACGTGCAGGTTGGCGAGGACTTCCACGATGTCTACCACTGGTATGTCGTCAAGGAAGCCGATGCACAGAAAAATCCGGAGAAAACACATTGTACTCTCAGGGTCTTGCAGTACACGGAGCCAGAGGAACTTCTCATGCGGAGTGAGGTCCTTAGCGCTTTGACATACATGATGCACAAATTGACGTACAAGTGCTACAAAGATCAAACCATCTTTCCGGTAAGTGGTTCAAATGAGTTTAGCCTATTGCGACAGTCACTTATTGGGTAACTTGTCATAGGTTCTCATTACTTCGATCTTCCCATCAAAAGTCCGTATCTTACAGGTATATTTCGATGGGGAAGATCTCCATTTTTCCAAGACTCATATCTACGATCTTAAAGAAACTAATCATCAAACGTATACTCTTCTTGCTCGGTGGGGGTATCCTATTCCGTGCGGAGACCTAAAAACCGTCAATATTAGGGGAAAGAAACTAAGCACTGCTGTAATGGAGCAGTTGGAGGACTGGAAGGAGGAGCAGGAAGCTATGAATATGGACGATTCGCCCGATGAGTGACAGTTGTAGCTGAACGTTTCGAGGAAATTTTTGCACTCAACGTCTTGTGTTGCTGTTTGTCGTCAGTGGTTCCCCTGAGAGTGCATCCATCTACAGTATGCGGGACAAGGCGGCTAAATGTCTGTAAACTTTCTTTCAATTTCAATCATAGCCTCCAATAGGCGCATGTCGCATGGGTATAATGATATGTATTCCAGTATTCTGCTCACCCTTAGCACGGTGCCGTTTTACACGGCCTCTTCCTTTCACCCGATGTAGAAAGATTGCCAAACCCCCATAGTAATACTGATACTATCGAGCCACAAGCACCCTTTTCCAAATTAAGTACAATCGCACCCAGTAAAGTACACACCCCGAGGCATAAAGCCCCCTTATCCACCTCAATTCAATCCAGCCAGCGTCTCCGGTACCGCAAGATACCGATGAAACTGCCCCCTAGTATCATACCTCCATTTAGCCTCGTAAGATGTTCTTTCCTCCTACTTGAAGACCTGCATGCCTCAGAACAAATGCTTTTCCAAGTTTATCATATTTCTTGGCTCGCAAACTATAACGGATGTAAAGTTAATTCCACCTTTAAGTCCGATGACGGCCGTGCGGAGTAAGCTCTCGATCTCCGAAGCCCTCGAGGCTATATCCACCACTCGTCCATTCACCTACTGACTGGCCTTCCCCATCGACAGAATGTATACTTGTCTCCTTCATACACTCACTCCTCTCCAATAGTCTGAACTCCCACAACTTGTATTATCCAATCCACACACAATGCCCCTCCCCAAACCCCTCCCCATCACCGGCTTCGGCCTCCTAGGCATGACATGGCGCCCCAGCCCAACTCCAGACAAACAAGCCTTCAGCGCCATGAAAACAGCCATCTCTCACGGCGCCACCATCTGGTCGTCCTCCTCCGTCTACGGCATGCCTCCTCAGCCCCCCACAGCAGGCTTACACCTCCTGCGCCGCTACTTCGACAAGTACCCTGGGGGATATTAGGCATTGGTTTGGGAGGTTTCAGCCTGAGGTTAGACCCCAGCTGTCATTTTCTTTTTTGCTTGATTCAAGATGTGAGTTTGGTCATACTGACTGACTTTTGTGAAGAACTTCCCCAAGAACCTTGAATTGGTGGAGAGAATCAACGACTTCGCCAGGCAGCGCGGCGTCACTCCCGCCCAGTTAGCCCTCGCCTGGATCCGCGCTCACTCTAACTCTGGGCCCTGTGGTACTATCATCCCCACCCCTGGTGCGACGGCAGCTTCTCATGTCGAAGAAAACTGCACGGCGATTCCGCTGGCAGCTGAGGAGAAAGAGCAGCTGGATGCGATTTTGAAGTCGTTTGATGTTGCAGGGGAGCGACAGGTCGTGGGGATGAGCTCTGAGTTGTGGGGTTGAAAGACAGCGGGGGGATGACTAGTACTCACACTCTGAATTTCGAGCGCCCATACTTAGGAAGCTTGGGTAGTAGCGCTTTGATGTATTTATAGTAGTACATCCTGTGTTCGAATAATAGTATGCAGACTATGAATCTGGCATTTCTAAACCACCCAGTTCTATCGTCTTATCTACTCCATCTATTCTGAAAATGGCGCGCCATGAACCATGAACCAATCCCGGTATTCTACAAATTCAATCCAATGCACATGACTCAAACTCATACCCAAGGATTCTTCGAATCCAGTATACATCTCTAATTGTTCTTCCGCTTCCGCTCCATTCTGCTTAACTTCTTCATACCACGCGTGATCTCCACCGCACTTTCGTACGCAAAATCTGCAATATGATTAGCAACCTCAGAACCTACTCATTAAGGCATGGTTAATCTCACAAGTACCAGCAGCAAGCCAGATAAAGTTCATGAAAAAGTAATAGAACCAGAAATAGTAGCCTTCAGGACGACAAAAAGAAACTCCATGGTAATAGAGATCGAACATGCTCGTAGCATAATAAAGCACATCTCCATAGACATGTCCTACGGAGACAAGGAGCTGCAGGACATGTCTTGCGGGGTGCTGCGTGGCGATGCAGTATGCGATAGTAAATGCGAGAGGACCCCAGCAAAACTATACACATTAGTTGATAATGAATTGGTAATTTTGTGTGAGGACATACAGCGGTGACAGCTTCCATAGAAACGAGGAATGAATCAGAGGTCAGATAGCGAGAGTCAGAAAGGGAATATTCCTTCCAGAGCTGGCCGAATAAAGTGTGCGAGCCGGCTAGGGTCTTGTGGTAGACCACAAAGTAACTTTCAAAGAATAGATGTATGCATCCCGCTGTTTCTCCACATTAACATATATTCCAAACACAAGCGAAGACAACACCACTTACTAAAGCACATCCAAATGAACGCAAACTGGTCTGCTCGAGTCACCGACTTTCGCAGACGGCAAATGTAGACAGATGCGATACCCAGCACCAAAGCCCATAGCACAGCAAACTGAGCAACCAGCGATAAAGCCGAACTTTCGTTGGTTACATAATGCGGCAGATACACCGAAGACGGATAGTAACTGTGAATGACCTCTGTAATATTGTCCATTTTACTTGAGACTTTGTAGTGATGTCTGCAGCCAGTAGCAGTTCACACAGATGGCTTTATACTATGAAGCCTATAATGTGTGTACGGGCGGAACGCGCGGACTCCGAGGATCGGCTCGGGATCTCCGCCTGTTCGCTGACACCACTCTACGAACTACTACCCCTATCCCTTACACGCTATTGCTAATACCTTGCATGCTGAGTGGAGTAGCCTTGGATTACTGGCTTGGTTTGTTCAGGTACCGTTAGCCAAGAATAGAAGTAAACTCAATCCATGGTTGGAGCTAGCTGCAGCATTAGGCGACCCATGACGGATTCAGCTCTTTGCAAGTGCTAACTCTCGTGTACACATTAGCTAGAAATTTGTCTTGCTGAAATACGATGGGAAGTACAGTTATCCCGGGTTTCTTCTCATCAGAGAAGAAAACAGTTGTTACAGTGATTCCAGAATATGAACTTGATGACCCTGATGGGCTTAATTCTCATACTATAAAAAAGGACGGCGCAGATAATGACGGGTTGTACTTAGACCAGGCTGTTAGCTTATGAACAATACACTCTGGCTTACTCGATCTTTACATAATTACAGCGTACTATTCTTAGTGATTTTTCATTCCTCTGCTCGACTACATACGTGGCTAATGTCAGTGCCCAGAGCCCCAGATATACTTGTCACAGACAGCCCTATCAAGATACTTTGAAAGCCCGAAACATCAACACTATCCTTTCATCCATTTGACTCAATTTAAATTTCTCAACAGTAAAACAATACCCGAAATTCCACAATAAAATCCACATAAAAAGAGTCATATTCCAACCCCAACCCCCATCCCACTCAAAATAGCCATCTACTCCCCACCCTACAAAGTCAACTCCAAACTGACCATGGAAGGACCGAGTGCAACATTCGCCTCAAAATATCACACGACTACCAGTCTTTCTCGTCCCAAATCAAACAGGACAGTCCCGCCTATCGTGTCCTTTGCCATTACATTTGGCACATCTCTGCATAGGACAGTATCTCATAGAATGACCGACACAATCACATCTCATGCAGCGTGGAATGGGGCACTGCATTATTGAGTGGCCTTGCTGGTGGCATGCTGAGCAGGTTGTTGGGGGGAAGGTGTATACTCTGTCTGGCATTTTGGTATAGTTTAGTGTTGATGTTAGGGTGGTTGGGTGGTCTGATGTGTTTGGGGATTATGAACGGGTGATGTCTGATGGATGAGACGAGACAGTGATGAGGAGTAGATTATGAGATGAGTTCTCTGGTTGTGAGGATATGAAGTGGATGAGGATGAAGAGAGAATATTAATAGTGTTCTGGTGAGCACTCATGAAGTTCAGTGTATACAGTGTAAGAGGGATTTAGTTACTTGTTTTAGTTGTTCTTTCTCAGTAACTGTTGACTTAGTATGACTCCGTGATACACTGGATGCTTTAGGAAAATGACAGGAAACAGTTGAATGGAGCCCCTCAAGTACCCTAAGTAGAAGTACATTGTTCATCCTCCGTGACATATTGACTTGGTATGACTACGTGATACACTGCACAATTTAGGAAATTGACAGGGAACAGCTGAGTAGACTACCCTTAGTAGGAGCAAGTAATACTGCTGCAGAAAACCTAATAACTTGGCTAACTATTTACCAGGATGGCATCGGCCCTTACCCGATGAACCCATGACCATAGAGTTAGGGTGGTGGGGAAACGTTGGACCGTCTGGGACAATGCACACTTTAAGTAAAGAGTGGTACCGGCAATGCATAGCCAGCGGCTCCTGCACCCCACCAATTGATGTTATGCTTCCGGATAGAGTGTCAACTCAATTAGACCCGGTTGATCGAAGAGGAGAAAAGATAAATGTCCTGGTTGATGATGTATGCGCAACAATTGTGTGACCCGGTGGAAGAGGCAAAAAGCCGTTAAGCCACACAAGCGCGTGTGGGGCTGCAGATCACCCCGACCGGCGACCGGCCTATCTAATTTCTGGGGCGTCTGCTTCTATTAGTTACTTTTTAGTCGCCCCCAGTCGGCCCTCGGTTATAGTATTCCGAACAGCAAGGAGATGTGGCTGCAAGGTGTTATGTGTCAGTTGTATGCTCCAAGATTGTCTCTAATGACTAAAGGAGTCGCGGTGAGTATCTTCCGGAAAAGTTTTACGATGCTCCATGGCAAGCCCAATCCCATTTTCTGAAGAGTCGGAATAAACCCCGGCAAGCCTCAGGGGTACCGCAAATTGATGTAAGTTACTGAAGCCTCGGCCCATCCCCCCTCAACCATAGAAGCTTTCCCCGCACATCGCTGATAGCTTTTGGAGTTCACCGGTAACTTAAATACGGCTCCCCCACGCCGATCGTGACTTCTCCCCCATTATTTCTTCCTCTATTCACCCAACCTTGATCACTCATCCTCTTGCGTCTTGTTCCGCGAAATCCGCCTCAGTATATACCCACGTTCCTACAGAGAGCTGAGAACCTCACACCCACGACACGATGGTTTTCCTACCTCCTAAGGAGGCAGGCACTTTGCCGCCTATCCCGGACAATATTCCGCTCAGTGAATTCATGCTTACAGACTTGTATGGGCGGAATCCGCTGGGTTACTCACGGGACCCTTTCACTTGCGGCATTACCGGGAAAAGCTTCTCCGCACTAGAAGTGGTGGATCGTGTCGATTACCTGTCTCGCGCTCTGTCCAAGGAGCTTAACTGGAAGCCAAACACAGGCACCGAATGGGATAAGACGTTAGCAATCTTCAGTTTGAACACCGTGAGTTTCAAGCCCCAGGTCACTACAGCGTCTTAGCTCACGAGTTCCCTCCCTAGATCGATACCTTGCCCCTGTCATGGGCCGTCCACCAGCTGGGGGGACTCGTCTCCCCGGCTAACGCAGCCTACTCAGCTGCTGAGCTAAAGTATCAGCTGCTCGATTCCAAGGCCAAAGCTTTGTTCACCTGTCTCCCTCTCCTACAGACTGCCCTCGAGGCTGCATCCCTCGCTGGGTTGCCCAAGGATCGCATATACTTGTTGGAAGTCCCACCACAACTCACCCCCGGAGTCAAGACTCCAGCACGATTCAAGACAGTCTCGCAGTTCATTGAAGAGGGGAAGTCGCTCCCCAAGGTCGAGAGACTGAACTGGGCCGCCGGAGAGGGTTCTCGGCGGACAGCCTTCCTATGCTATTCCAGTGGGACATCCGGGTTGCCTGTGAGTCAGAACATGCAGGAAATTGTATGTGACTGATCGCATCTGACCTGCATACTAGAAAGGTGTCATGATCTCTCATCGCAATGTAATCGCAAACGTGCTTCAGATCCAAGCATTCGAGGGCACTTGGCGCGACTCCCTCAGGGCTCCCGGAACCCAAGGCAACCACACCGAGGTGGCATTGTGTCTGCTTCCTCAGAGCCACATCTATTGCCTGGTGGTCATATGCCATGCTTCTCCATTCAGAGGCGACCAGGCCGTTGTTTTACCAAAGTTCGAATTGGATCTATATCTAGCTTCCATCCAGAACTTCAAGATCTCGTCACTGTTCCTGGTCAGTAATTCTGCTCACATGTAAGCGCTGTTCCGAGAAGGGTCTCATTGATTAACTCTAATAGGTCCCTCCGATCATCATCAACATGCTCCGCAACCACGAAATTTGCGCGAAATACAACCTAGGCTCAATCAGGAGTATTTTCACTGGTGCTGCGCCCTTGGGTGTGGAAACAGCCGAAGACTTTCAGAAACTCTACCCAAATGTAATAATTCGGCAAGGATATGGTACGCATTACTCCAAGACAACTAGTGTCTCACACTGACATGGACGCGCAGGTCTGACTGAGACATCAACTGTGGTGTGCTCG